CGGTGCAGGCGGCCGTCTGGGACAGAAGCGCGAAATATGCCCTGGGAGACCACATGTGTACCAAATGGGGACTTGTCGGCTTACATTAGCAGGAGCAGAGATGGCAGAAGTACGCGGAGACGGGTCGTGCTCAGCAGGAACATTTTGAGATGACGCATAGTAATCTTCTGGTAGAGGCCTGGTTGACGACGGTCAGAGGTCCGCAGCGGCACGTCGAGATGATGACATCTGGTGGTGGCTGCGACCCAGTCGCGGGGTAAAATCTGCAGTTTCTGTGCGTGGTCGGTTTTCAACGTGGCGCTCTCGCATCCAGTAGGCAGGTGGTTTGGGGCACGCGGCGAACGAGCATTGGTGGTGAACGTCACCTGCTTGAAGTCGTACGAGCTCTTCTCGAACTACCCGACGTACGAGGAAGGGAATGTCTTCGCAGGTGGCGACGTCCATACTTGTGACAGTGGGAATATTGTCCAAGCGCCCAAACTTGGGTAAAATTCTCCGGGTCTTCAACGCCTCGAATGCGCGACACTGCTGCCTGAAAATCGAAGGAGTGTTCAAGTTTTCTTTCGTTATCAAAAAATTGTACACGTCCTCGGCGATTCCTTTTAACAAATGACTGACTTTGTCTTCGTCAGACATATTTGCCTTGACAATCCTGCAAAGCTTCAATACTTCTTCAATGTAGGTTGTGCACGTCTCGTTGGGCAACTGAGCCCTACGTGACAGCGTTTGCTCAGCTTTCTTCATGGAACTCGTGTCCCCAAAGCAGGCCTTTAGTTTCTTAACAAATATATCCCAAGTGGGGAGGACATGTTCATGGTTTTCAAACCAAAGCAAGGCTGTCCCGGCAAGAAAGAATACTACGTTCACGAGCTTTGCCGGTGCGTCCCATTCGTAGTAGCGGCTCACTCTGTCGAAGTGTTTTAGCCAAGCGTCCACGTCTTCGTCAGTTTTACCTGAGAACATTCGTGGCTCAGGTGCCCAGTAGTCTGGTTGTCGAGGTCGACGGCCACCTTGTGCCGTGTCAGTGGCACTGGTGGATGCAGCAGCATAGTGCGTCAATGGGATTGCTGTGTCGTCGTTCATGCTGATATTGTCCGGGGGTAGGCCAGGTAAGCGTCTGCTTCTTCGAAGAACTTCTGCTGCGGGGTCCAAGATGGCAAGTCACCCAGCACGGCTCCACCAAAGCTGTTACGGATGTGATGGGTTTATTTACACTGAAAAATGTCAGCGCTCTACCGTCGCTGCCGAATCACCATCGCTCGAGAGCGTCCGATCTCTTCTTCTTCCTCGCTCTTTCAGTCCGCATCACAACATATATATATATATATATATATATATATATATATATATATATATATATATATTAAGCATCATTTCATGACATGTCGCTCAAGAAAAAAATTTCTACATGGTCACCTTCCCTCTGCATGCTTCGCATAACGTTGATTCCCAGGTACGTGGAATCGGCCGAATTTTTAGTAGCAGGATTTGACTTTCGGTAGAATGAAAGTGATAACCTGTAGAGTATGTTATGGTTTAAAGTTTACTATAATTAGAGCATATAATCTTTTTAAACTTTACAAATGAGGAATCTCTGTGATGGTGATATGTTAATTTAACCTTACTTCATAGCATTGCGAATTATTCTTGGATTGGTGTTTTCATGGCTTCCTTAAACCACCTTTACCTTGGGGGACATGCAGAGTACCTGATATACATCTATTCGTTAATTTCGAATGCTTTGAAATTTTAAATAATTTAAATTGGAATCGAAGTGTAGTTGAAAACAAAAATTCAAAGGAAAATTCGAAGCATTCAGATATTTGTAGAGGCCTAGCAACTATAATAACACCACAAAATTTGCTTTAATTGGTCTTAATACAGTCAAGTTTCGATGTTGTCTCAAACTTTTATCACCATGAAAATCGGTAAGTCAATCTAGACCTATAAACTCTATGTGTCAATTTTTTTTGTTTCTGTTATACTTATAATGTTTATTCAAAATGCTTTGCAGCTTGTTTTCAGTCTGTGTAGCTTGAAGAATGTGTTGCAGTTTGCTATTGGTCATGCATGTTTTGACATTAGGTTCATTTTGAGTTGTAGTTACAGACAAAAGTGATGAAAAAGTTATGTCGGTGAGATACTTATGCCAGCTTAGCAAAAAATCATTGACCTAAAAAGTAATTAAAAACCTTATTTATTGATTGTTATTGTAAGATTTAATATGCCGCTGAGAAATACTTATGATGCTATACACTGTATGGTTTAGGCATGCTGCTTATTTAGCTCAGCTGTGCCATATGCTTTTTTGCCCCTTTGCTCTATCTTTTCTTATATACGGAATTCCCTCCAATAAAAGAGCTTTTGTGAAATCATCTATAAAGTACTGCTATGTTTGCACTAAAATATTGCAGCATTATTTTGCTGTAGAGTTTCTTAAAAGTAGGCACTCTATGCTGAGCATTTATTTCACTAGTAAGGAAAGTTGAGCTAGTCGCTGTGAATGCATTGTGGAATAATGCAAAAAACAAACAAACAAACTCAGGAACACAGGCAAGTGGGCAATAGTAATGTCTGTACAGTATTGAATTCCCTGTGACCCTTATTTTGCATTTAAATGTTTAATTTGGGCTAGTGCCCAAGTGCAGGATAGCAAATTGGAAATTGTCTTCTGGTTAACGTCTCTTCCTTTCACTCAATGTTTTGGTCTAATGAAAGGTTGCATCAACATTTTGTTTCTTTTTGAATTGATGCATTGCATTGTTAAAATCAAGAGTGTGGGTTTAATTCGTGGTCACAGGTGCTGCAAATACATACATGGGAGTGAAATGTAAAAACATCCATCTGGTACCCATATATTTCTGTGCGTGTTGAAGTACCCCAGGTGGTGACGATCAACCTGGATTGGCCTGTTATGGCTCGGCTCATAATAACATTTTGATAACACAGCTGTAAGAGGGAAAAAAAAAACATAGCGAGAGGGACAAAGCTCTAAAAGGACTGGGGCCTTCCCCAGCTCTGTAAATATAATTAATGAATAATTCTGCGTCCTTAGTTTTCTCAAATCATGATAACTTATAATTTTTTGCTGACCTTAGCTAGTTGTTCGTGTCTATGGGAATGGATGAAGAAAAATTTAGATTATCTCAGTGTAAACAAGTGTTGCTGTTGATAGAAATAAACTTGTCTGTGCTCTTTCCATGTTGGGGCCATCTCTATGTAGTAGTACTTGTTTCCTCTCTGCAGGTGACTATGCTGTTTCCTTCATTATGAAAATCACTACTTTGGGTGGACATTGCGGGTTTGACATTGCGTGTCTTGTCTTGTGACATGCTTGACTTGTGTCAAGCATTTTAGTAAATGAAAGTCTCTGAAATCTTCAGTGCAAGCTGTTCTGAGAATGAGCTGGCATTTATTCTGAGCTTATATCGCAAGGCCTGTAAGACGTTGTGCTCAGGAGTGTGAATTCAGTGGCCCATTTCACTTTGTTGGAAATGGAAGGAAAAAGCGCAACCATGTACTCAAGTTTAGGTGCATATTGGAGAACCCCAAGTCATCAAAATTACTTCACGGTATGCCTCTTAATGACGTAGTTTTGGCATGTAAAAAGCTCAGTGCTAAATGTTATTAGAGGATTTACATGTCTGTTTCATTGAGGGAGCATCTTTAATTTAATTGATCTCAATCTTAATTTCAGACATGTGTGAATAAAAACATGGCTGCGGAGAAGGAAAGAAAAAGCCGCTCAGTTGTGGCTTTATGGAGCTCACTTCCCCCGGACACATTGGTAGAGTGGTATACACGCTGCAGAAATAGCACAGACATGAAAAAACTAAAAATAGTAGAAGAAACAAAGAAATGAACACTGTTCACCATAAAAATGTGTGCCAATACAAATACAGTCAAAGCCCTTTATGAAAGACACTGATTTAAGAGAAAAATGGTTATAAAAGACACCAGCGTGCCTACAGTAAAATACAGGTTGATAAAAAATTGTATGCCTGGTACCCTGCTTATAAGGGAAATCTCATATGCAAGACAAGAATTGCTGCCCGGAGCATGCCTCTCATAAGGGGTTCAACTGTACTCAATCTTTGTGGGTACATTAAAAGAAAGTTGTGGTCACAAAAAAAATTTAAAATAGCAGGCAATGCAAACATTAACTCAATAGGTTTCGAAGAGAGTTGAAAGAAATTTTGCTTTCGAGGTGTGATAAAAGACGAACTTGTTAAGCAGAGAAGGCAATGTATAGCGTACGGCTTGAAAGCCGTAATTAGTGCGTAGGTGAGGCACAGACTAATACTCATGGAGGCTTGTAGGGTAATAGAGAATGTTGGTGATAATCCATTCATCTTTATGAAGATGAGTGGACCTATCTTGGTTGTGTTGGACTGGCATAGCACCACTGGCGTCTTTTCTTCTTATTTTTTTGTGATATCATGCACCTGATTGCTTAGGATTTGAACTTGGTAGCTTGAATATATATGTTATCATATTGTGTGCACAGTAAAAGAAATCTATCTCATCAGTAATGTTGATTGATAGATAGTACATGCACTACATGGCCAGAAAAAGAACAGAAATAGCAGAGCTGGTTTCAACTCATGGCTATAGCCTCATAAAAGATGCTGGAATGGTGCTCCTTGTGTAATTTTCTTGAAATTGAATTTCTCTGAAGCAACTGAAGTAGAAATCGAAACTAACAGTTTGAGTCTATCACGTCTCACTGAGATGAAGCATGATGAAAAGAAGGGATGAAATAAAGTAAAAAAAAGGCCTTACTGATTTTGTGTGCATTTTATATAAATATAGAATTGGGTGAAATTCTGTATGATATGAAATTAAATGGTGCAAAGAAATGCAGGAAATGGCACTAGCTCACATAAAATAGTGACAATTGAGGGTTTTCTCATATAAAAAAAAAGAACAATATGTAGTGAGTGTGCATGTAATCATGCAATTTACAGTCGTGACATAGCAGCATTCCTTCCTCTGTGCAGAAAAGAAGGTAAGCTGGGCTTGGTGTCGTTGCCGACAAGGCACATCATTGTGGCGGCCGGTGATTATCAGGTGGAGGCTCAGCTGGAAGAGCAGTTGGCCATGGCACACTACCAGTACACGGGGGCCACGGTGCATGTGCACCCGGTGCTCTCATCGCTGGTCAACTACGCGCAACCGGTCAAGTTCCAGGGTTTTGACGTGGCCGAGGAACGAGCAATCCACTTCAACATGTCCTCATTTGCTGAGACAGCTGCTCTCGGATGCCTCAAGTCGCAGGCCATCGAGTTTGTCAAGTATCCTTTGTTGCATAATGTCACTCTTATTGCAAAGGGACAGTTAAATGGGTTAAGTTTATTAACTCAGCTTTCGTAAGCAGTGACACCTAACTTTGAAATGTCTCCATAAACAATCACGGCTTCTTTTTGTAGTAGTAAAATAAATTAGAACGCTGTATGCTTTTGTTTGAAATTTCTCACCTCATAAAATTCTAAATAAGTGCTTAGTGTGCACCAAGCTTTGCAGTGCGTCACATCCTGGCAATCATTATTCATAGCTGAGAGTTTGGCTAAATGTGATATGACTGCTCACATGCAAGAAAGCATATAAGCTTGAAAATGCCAAGGTTGTTTAGGCCTCATCAGCACCTCCTCTATTTTTTCAGTGATGGAGTGAAGGAGCGAATTTCAATGGGAAGCGGCAGTCGGGGCTAGTCAGCGTTTTGCCGCCAGCCGCTGCAGCTGGAGTAGAGATGCCGCCGCCGTCTCTCGCGCAAACGAATGCTATAGCTGCATTCGTAGCTACTATACAGCTCGGTTTTCGGCTTTATTCACATTGTTTAAGGTGTAATGGAAACTTCGAAATGAGAATTGTGAAGCACTTGTGTTTCTGGACACCTAGCTCATTTCGAAGGCATGTGTCGTTCGCGACTACTTGATCGAGACGCTCGTGCGTTGTTTGTTATACCAGATAGCGCATGCCAGTAATCCGCGGAAGATTGTTTTGTCACCGTGGCGTTCGCTTGACTAAGAGTTGCTTTTTTGACTAACTGAAAGTCGATTTCTGAGAGAACATTTTTCCAGGAACTAATAATAAGAGCTTGGGTGCCTAATGTTCCCCAATCCTTGCTACTCTCTAGTGGCGTAGCACATTATGCGCAAGCCTGGAGTTCGTGAACTAAATAGGTTAGGTTAGGTTAGGTTAGGTTAGGTAGGTCAGGTCAGGTCAGGTCAGGTCAGGTTAGGTTAGGTTAGGTTAGGTTAGGTTAGGTTAGGTTAGGTTAGGTTGCTGCACCCATCTACCGGAAATACACCGTCATCACCCTCAAACCATATTGGAGGATCTTCGTAACTGACGTTATCAGCGGCCTCACCTCCACAGGTCGCAAAATGCCACTAGACTGCTTCCAGGGATATAGGTCATCATTCGTTTCCTTCGTAGCATTACATGTGTTGCCTCCCCAAAAAAAAAGCAAGTGTCAGAAAATGCGGAACTATGGCGGGTGATTTCACCATTTGAGAGCTTAAACAATGAAATTATTGTGAAATAAACAAGAACAGCTCCATATGGGGTGCGATTTCTGCGATAATTGCCTATGTTTTGAACAGGTGCTGTTAAAGTCTGAAGTCTAATGCTGACTCTCAACTTGAGCCAAGCAAGGTGACAGGCATAAAAAATGCGGCCTGCGGTCAGTTGCTTGAGCTTGTCTGTGTATTCGTGGACGGATTGTTGTAGCCTTAATATCTGGCTGCTCAGCTCTGTTTCTTTCTTTTTTTCTCTGGCCTCTTAATTCAGCAGTGAGCATAGTAGATGTTGAATGGCTGTGGGGTGCCCATAAGCTACCATTCAGCTTCGAGGCGTACCGTTAGCATTGCACACGGGAGTGATCACAAGGCAGCGTTTCTACTGATAGACTCATTTGTTGACTGTTCAGATGCAGCGCGCTCCCGTTTAGCTGGGATCTCACTTCTGTGCCAAAGTGCGCCAAACGAGATTTGCTGCGCCAACCTGATAAAATCGACAGAAATTGCGCCAAACTGCGCCAAACCGTCTATCTCAGGGTTCCGCAACATGTGGCCTGCGGGCCGCGTGCGGCTCCCGGCACGTCAGAAATCATAAAATCGCTAGACACTGTAATTGCGGCAGTATTTAAATAACTATAATTAATGTTTTAATTACCGGAAACAGCAGTCAAGTCTAGTGAGAGAATTCTTTACTTTCCTGTGAACCGGCCTATAACACCTACATACTAGGTTTTAAGATGACTCCGTCTCCGCTGCTACCCTCTGCGCCGCAGCCGCAGCGTGGCCAGCACGTGACGAGAAAGCAGGAGGTTTTTCACGCAGAGACAAGAAGATCGGCATTTGAGAGATAACCAACACTCAACGACAGCTTTTCTTTTAGGGGCGAAGCTCCTTAAAGCGGCACCTGTTTGTCCCTTGTAGTGGTGCATAACATGTCTTCTGCTTTGACCTGCAAGGTGGTGCCGGTGGGAGATTTCTCCTGTGCATTGTTTAACAATAAAAATTTTGCAGCGGTGCGTTAACTAAAAGCGGAATTCTCCTGTTTCTCATTCCTCATTAGCAGCCATTTGCGCGTACATTGAGCACCATCTGACATGAAAGGATTTCTACGTTATACTCGCTGGGCATAACCTCCTTGGTTTTAGAAAGGGTTAGCTAGCAGTTGGGCCGCAGTGCCATGAATACAGTGAACTAGTATATACCATGAACTCGAAGTGGTTAAAGGTTGGAAGTAGACACGAAGCACAAGCCGTAAGAAAGTGTGCGTGTGCCACCTCTCATTTAGTCCTTGGAATGTCGGCTGGATGGCGGTGCTTCTATATGCGAAATATATGATGAAAAAATGCGAGATGGTGGACTTGGAGTATTGACTAGATGGACAAACAGACACACAGACAGATGCATGGACGGACGCACGGATGGCTGCACAGACGGATGGACGCATGGACGAACGCAGGGATGGACACACGAATGGACGTGCGCACGCACGGACAGGTGAATTGACGCACGGGCGGTCACACAGACAGATGCATGGATGGACGAAGAACGAATAGACGGACGAATGCTTCGCCCCACTCTTCATCATTCATTCCCGTGGATATGCTGCCATTTTTTTCTTCTCTCTTCGCGTGCGGCGTTGAAAGGAGAAGGGTCTCTACATGGCAGAGACGGAAAAGGAAGAAGCGTGGCACAGGCGGGTCCCAGATCGGCACTTGCATACCTGTCATCTCTTCCGATTTTTCTGTAAAATGTACGAATTTTGATTGTGTGTACGATTTTACGAATCTTGCCTGAAATTTACGAAAAATATTTCTTTATCGTTGAAAAGTTAAGTTAGTAAGATAGCGTGGCCTACACAATTTGCTACAGTGCATTGTCTTTGCTGGTCACGGAGGCCATAATAACAGCGTTGTGCTATATTCCGCCACCAGGAAAGAACTATATATATTGGTGTTATCACCACATACTTTCGAAGTCTCCCGCATTGTCGAGAAGATTCCCGGATTGCAAATATTTTTTCGGTGTGTAAGGTTGCCATGAAAATCTCCCAAAAATTCAAATGTGTGTGCGAGATCTGGCCGCATTGACAAAAATGCAAGCCAGTCCATTCCAGGCTTCTTACGAGCCCACGGCATTATAAACGAATTTGAGAGGCGTTCGTCCAAACTTATAGCAGAGTCTCAGTGATGCGAAACCGCGACAGATACGAATTCTTGAAATTCCCCAGCCAAATTTATGTGTCCATTGGGCCAAAATTCGAATATTCCAAACACTTTTCCTAATCGCGACGTGTGATATGAACTTTAGTACAGAAACCGTCGAACGAAGGTTGATCGAGAGCAGCGTGCTCGAAGCTTTAGAAGTACGCATGTGATCAGTACACGCAGTGTCTTGTACAATGCGATTGGTTGTTGTTGCCACAACCGCTGTGGACGAAACCACGATCGTTTGACACGATCATGTATGGCGACGACGTTACTGACAGAACCTCTAAAGTGTGCGTGTGGTCAATGTTCAACCAGTCAAACTAACGCTGCCTTCCGCAAGCTCTCTAAAGAAAACCGCAGCAGTTGTGACCATAGATAGCATAAAACGGCTTAGTTTTGAACACACGTGGATTAATTACTAAACTATCATTTGCTGCAACCGCCGCATACGAAACGGCGATCGCGGCATTATGCGATAGTGATCTACGAGCTCCGAGGGTACGTGGTTGACGCAGCGGTAGATTAAAGGCAGTAAAGATGTAAAGAAGGCTAGGAGCGTTTTGGCGTTCCTGTCCCAAGAATCTAGTAGTGAGCAAAGCCACAGATTTGACTCGCGCTTTCGAGACAGCCAGCTGCCCCGTCCCATCCGTTCATGTGTGAAGACATACGCGAGTTGTTTTCACGAAAATCGAATTTTTGTGCTAGCTGTTTTGATAACGCTAAATTTCAGGAGCATTCCCGCTCCCCCTTTGAGACTCTCATCTTAGTGGGAAACCCTACTCTTGTGTGTTTGGCCACTTCAAGCCATTATGAGACCGCAACGTCGATGTTAGCGCTTACGTTTAAGACCCCCCCTCTTGTATTTTACGATGTTTTTTTGTTAACATATTTTCACAGCGCAAGACTACGAGTAGTTACAACGTTACTACAGAAGAAGAGACAAGGACAGAAAGAGCGCTGCTTTTTCTTGTTTTTATATTGGTGCCGAAAATGGGGGGGCAATAATTCAGCACATCGATTTGACTTATGGCGGCAAAACAAGATTATCCTTGTCGCTAAAGTCAAATCCCTTACAGCTACAAAAAGTTTAAAAAGTTCTAAAAAAATCAATGTCCCCCCCCCCCCCCCCCCGCTCGGGGATTTTTTTACTTTCTCTGTTGCGAGGTTGAGGCTGGCAAGTGTGCATTTGAGAGATACCAAATATTATCCACCGCAGCCTTTCCTTTTCTACTTTTCCTTCTTGGCACGCAGATTTGAGGTGTCCGAGGTGCCGCCGTGAGATTGAGTGTGATTCTGAGGGCGTTTTTGGAGTGCCGTATGTTCAAATAACCGTCGCAAGTGCTTGCGCATTCTTATTAAGTTAGGTATATCGTTTTCGCCCATCGGAATACAGATAGCTTTGATGGGACCACAGCGTGAGTTCTAATTACACTCAAACCTCATAATAACGAAGTTATTTTGTTATAACCTCGTTATTTTGTTATATTCATTACTTCATTATATCGATTATAACAGTTTGTGGTAATGTATGCTCAAATGGGCGCACACCTATAAGCATGCAAAGAA